CTGTTCAGCGTGCAAGCTGGTCAACCAGCAGAAGTGTGCTGAAAGGTCAAACAGCACAGCAATCCCTCCAAATTGGCCACTGAAAATGCTGCCCCCCTTCTCACTGACACAATAAGAGGCGTGGAGGGAAAAAAAGAGGGCTGTGGCTCAGATGACAGTGGGTGTCTTGTGGCACACAGGATTGAAGTGATATTATTGCAATAAGAAAAGAATACAGGATCTTCATGCAGAAATGCACAGAAAGGTATTCTTCATTAATCTCATTTCCTATGGTATAATTCGTTTCAAATGTGGCTCAATGCATTATATCACAGTTAACAACAGGCTAAGAGAATTAGAAAGAATACTAAATCTAGATTAGAGGTTATCTAGATTTTATTGTTATTTCATCTACCTTTCGAAGAACGATGTTTTGTTTTTACTTCTGGAGTACTACTGCTATGACTGCTACTATGAGTACTACTGCTAGTAGCAGTGCTGCTGGTGAACCCAGGACATGGAGAAAATGCAACAGGGTGTTTATGCATGTTTACCCACTCTTCATTGCTCCAAAATCATAATTAGATATTGAGGTTATATAGGGGATAATGAAAGGTTTATACAAAATCTAACTTTAGTCAAACAGAGCTTCCCTCCCCTATTCCTTCCCAAAACTATGCTCAGCTGCAGAACACCCATCAGAGCATCTCCATACATCTTGAAGAGGAGAAATGGGGAGAGGAGGAGTCTTTATTCCTTTAGTATTTGATTTAAGATGTCTAAGAACAAAGGGCTGGATACAAACAGGAACAAACAGATTTAGTTTGAGCTGAAACCTCACGACTCCTATTCATCCAGTCTCCACACTTTGTTGGAACTATTTGCATGGTGAGCAGCAGAGGTCATCTTCTGTGATACTTGGGGAGTTACCTTTGGCTTGCTTTCATAGGCTTTAGCGAGACAAAATGTCCACTGAAATCTCACACCTGTGCCAAAACTAACTTTCAGGATGTTCCATTTGAATCAATCCAGCTGGAAAATCAACTCAGAACAGGATCTTAGAGAAATTCTGAAGCCTTTATCTAAGTTTTTTTAATAAGAATTATTTTAAACAAGACACTGAACTTGGTGAGATACATTATATTTTTTTTTGGTCTAATAAAATATTGGATAATTCACAATCTTATACAAACTAATGGATGCTCAGGTAAAAAAGAAATGCTTAGGCAAAAATCCTTCTCACAACATGTAATGCTTAGAAAACATCATTCAGAGATATACTTATTATCCTGTAGTTTTGATCACGTAAACACCAATCTTTCCAGAGGTAATTCTTAGTTAGGTAAAATTAGACACTGCTGGAACATATTCAAATACAAAAATGAAGAATTATGCCCCTGTTGCTTGATCTTTGGAAAGGCAAAGACTTCAGCATCAAAAATCATAGTTCTGAAGGTTGAGCAGGTAGTCATGATAGGGTGCATAGCAAATGATTCAGGGGACTATTCTCAATCTTTTTTATAAATGGCATGTCACCTTAACAAAGAAAAGTACACCAGATATGTAACTCAGAACATGAAACAGTGACACTAAGGTCTCCAAACTGTGTAGAAAAAAGCAATTTTTCATCTTACAAACTAACAAAGAACAAGCACTCAGTGTTCAAAACTTTCACGGTCTCACTGAGTACATTTTAGTTCCATTAGGTGGTCATCAAAGCATCCCATAAATTGAAGAGTGTGTTCAGCTCATGTTTGATGGGCTGAATTCCCTGGGCTGAATTCTAAGCGCAAGACCATGTTTTCACATCCTAATGAAGTACAGCCAGTGCAACCCAACAGTGCAAACAATACTTGAATGCTTCAAAGATTTTGTTTCTGTATAAAATGCCCGTAAGAGGACAGCAAAATAGGAAGCTTTCACGGAGACGGATTCTGAACAGAAGAAGATACACAAAATTTTAATGAATTGTTACATGAAGTACTAACTCTTCTTTATGTTTCAAAGCTAATTTGTAAACTTACTCTCAAAACAACTGCTGTGATGTCCTGAATGTAACTCTGCCTGTGAGGAAATCATTTTAATTTGAGCAGTATAACAAATCCTAAGGAAACATTAATGATGTTTTGCCACAGGACAAAGGGTTCAGAGGCTCTTTTCCACTGCTAGAGTCACCACAGCTTTTCTTCAATGCAGCAGCCACAGTCAAAATTCATAAAGAGTTGCCGTGCGTAGAGCGCTGTCATTCAATGACCTAATTTTCCCATTTTTTTTCAAACCCAGAACTTTTTGCACTTCTTCATAAAGAAAGCACTTCTGTAAAGGAAGTCTGTGCTCCTTCCGTTTAACAGCTATATGTGCATGCCAGGAATCTTTGCCAACTACTGCTTAATGTAATTAAATAATTAAAAATTATAAATATTCTGATTATTGACTAGCTATTTTGTTTTGAATCTGTCAAAAAAAGACAGGCAGCCAACGGGATGAACAGATGAGAACACAGAGTAGCCTCAACAGGGCTGCCACAGCTTGTGTGAAATAGTGCAGGAAGCAGTGCAAGGAGCACGCTCGGTAATACAATTAATTTTCTGTTAAAGGACATGTAGAGAACCAGCAGCAGCTGCATGTAGGTCCTGTTTCCTTCTTCTCCTAGAATCTAAAGTCTAAAAGCACGGCTGCAGAAAAGTGGAACGTTTCATGGAAAAACACTGGATTTCCCAGCATGCTGGATGTTGGGTTTCTTCAGGGGAGCAAGGCGGTGGTGATGCTGCTCCTGAATGGGAAACTTTATTCTTCCTACAGCTGCATTATTGTAGGCTCTCTGCAGCTTCAGGTAGGCTATTCCTCCTGAAGTCCTGGTTTTTGTAGCTTTTCCCACACAGAAGGACAACAAACTTCTGTGTGTTCCCTGTGGTGTTGCTACCCACACATCAAGAACCCCTGATCTATGGGCCTGATTAGGCGAGGCAGCGTATCTGGTTTTGATGAGACACAAGCTCTGGAATCCACAGAAACCAGGCTGAAACAGTGATGAAGCCAGACTTGTTTCAGTGAAGGAGTCTGTTTTGAATTATGCTTCCTATTAGCAGTAGATTTAAAAATTAGTGAACTATGAGTAAATCTGGAACTTAACAAGGCTTAAAATAGGCCTGGGTCACAAATCTTGCTAACTGTGTAATGGGCTGGTCTGCAGTGCAACAACAGGGAGGTTTTTAAGAAAAAAATATAAGCAGAAAAAACCCATAGTAACTAGAATATGGGGGGGGGGGGGGGGAGGGGGGAGGAGGGGACACGGGAAAAGGGAATAATAAAGGTAAGTTATTTCTTCTCATTTTCTGTTCTGAAACTCAGTGAAAGCCCACACAAATGGTAAACATATGGAATAAATTATCAGGAAACATGATCGCAAAACAAAGACTACAACAGAATTCAAGTGACACTTTTCTGGAACAGAAATGGATAGAGCCATAAAGTGAACACTAGAAAGCAGGATTATGATTAACCTGAAAAAGGGCAAGCAAACTAAAGTACAAGCCATTTTCCCATTCCTTATGGCAGCTTCCCAAGGCTGCACATCTGAAATGTGTAATTTAATGTAAGCCCAAAGAGCCCTCCTCACCAACCACAGAAAAATTAATCAAATGTTTTCATACCAGAAGATAGTAGGTATTTATATAAATAGAGGCAAGATATATTTATACACATATGGACCCAGACGAATGTGCATGTTTATTTTGAAATTAGATAACATAAAAATCATTAGGTGACATTATACAGGTCAGTTAGTTAACTGCTTGAGTTTCAGTCAAGCTGGCCATAAAACCAGGTAATAAAGCTGCAATGCTTTGAAAACCCAGATGTATTTGAAATGAGTTGTTCCATGTAATTAAAAGAGATGTGAGAGGTCAGGAGAACAATATAATCTAACACCATACCTACATTGCAAACTTCAGCTGTCACAGCTACATCAAGCAGAAATGAAAAACTGTTTAATACCTGATTGATGCAGCTGTACAGCCAGCTGTGCCACAAGTGTTAATATAATTACAGTAGTATAAATGTGGAATTTCATAAATGTAACTTCTTTTCCTTGCTGTTTTTCTACAGTGGTATGACATACAGATGTGCTAACGTAACTGCAGCTCTAACATAAACATTATTCTCCAGCAATAACATAGATACAGCCAAAACCACCAAGGTCACAGAAGGCACATGGTCAGAGTTTACTTTAACTATTTCTACACTAAACATATTACATCACTGATGTGCTCCAAATACATACGAATAGGGATCTGTGGGAGAAGTATATCCAAGGTGCTCCATAAGCAAAACTTCCACAAAGTTGTCCCTTCCAACAGCCCACCCGCGTTGCTTAGAAACAGCATCTCTTCCTGCCGCTGCCCACGCATATGCGCTAACAGACACCAGGCCAACAGGCCAGTTCCCACCGCTTCACTTTCCGTTTCTTATTTCATTGCATGCCTCACGCGTGTATGCGAGTTCCTCAAGTTCTCTGGCTTCATTCTGCCAGCTGCAAACACCAGGACACCGCACAGCTGCGGCACTGGGCTGAGCTGCAGTGGGCTACCCCAACCCCTGAGTCCGACAACGACACCAGGTCTGCTACCCCAAACCTACGCTCTAGCAATGACAGCAGGGCGGGCGGGAAGAGGTGGAAGGGGCAGGGAACATTGTTCCCTGGACAGCGCCATCCCACCGGCTATCAAGCGATCTAAAGCCAGCACCTGCTCCAAATGCAGGCACGAAAAGTACTTAGGAGAAACCAGCTCCGACATTTATCACTCTTCATATCCGGCTACGCCCCACTCCGTGGCTGTGAGGAGAGGCCGGAACCACCAACGCTCAGCTTGGGAAGGGGCTGAGGATCGGGTGGGACAACCAATGAACCAATCAGAGAGCAACTTCCGGGCACTCCTATCCAATAGCCAACTTCTCCTGCGCATGCGCGAAACCAGAGGGCGGGGAAAGCATGGCTGAACCCCGCCTCCATTGCGGTAAGCTCCACCCCCGGTGCAGAAAGCCCCGCCCCTGTGGCTCGCGGCCGTGTCATTGCGGCCGAGGGGCGGGGCCTCCGCTTCCTCCCTGGCGGGGCTGGGACGAGCCGTCGAGTCCTGCCTCGGGGTGTCCCCGGCTGCCCCCGCCATGCACGGCGCACTCGCCATCCCCAACGAGGTCTGTAGCCTCCTCGCAGGTACGGCCAGCCGGCGGCTGGGAGGGGAGGAGGAGGAGGAGGAGGGAAGAAAGAAGGAAGGAAGGAAGGAAGGAAAGAAGGGAGGGAGGTCTTCCCGGGGGGGCGGGCAGTGAGCAGGGAGGAGGGACGGCAGAGGGGGGACGGGCCAGCGGTGGGGGGGTCGGGCCAGCGGGGTCTGTGACGGCCCGGGGTAGCCGGAGCGGCCGGGACATGCGGGGGGGAGCAGCCCCTTGAGATGTACCCCCGCCGCAGCGCGCTTCGCTTCCACTTTGTGGGTTCGGGGCTTCCCTTCCCCCCGTCAAGTTCTCTTTCCCGGTTACTTCTTCCCGCTGTATTCTGGCGGCGGCCGCCCTTCCGCGCCGGGCTGCGGTTCCCTCCCCGCCGCTTCTCGGCGCACCCGAAATGAGGAAGGAGCGAAGTCCCGCTCCTGGCTTGTCTCTCGGCCGTCGGGCTGCGGCTGGGCGTTCTCAGCCGCCCGTTGCCTCTGGGCAGGGGTAAGGAGCGTGGGAATTTTCCCCTTCAGGCTGCGTTGCACCGTGCTGTTATGGTGCCAACAGGGCCCTTTCCCCGAATTAACGGCACCCCCCAACCCCCGCAGACTTCCCCGCTAAACAACCGAGGCTAGCGGTACGGAAGTGAGTTAAGATATCACTGAATTGCTGGCATATTGTCATATCGGTCACATACGTGTGACTCTGACTGTTCATGTCCTTACGGGTATGTTGCAGCATAGGAGTCGGACGACTGCTCGCCATGAAAGGTTATCGGCAATAGCGTTAGTAGAGACTTCAAAATACTGGTAGTGATTTTCATGTACATTTCACTTTTGAAATTTATTTTGTGTTGTTCATTAAAATAAACTGTTCATTTCTAGTTTGGGATTTCTTATACCCAGAGGAAAAAGCAATAAAAGGCTTTGCTAGCCTGAAACAATTTTAATTTAAGTGGGAGTCTCTTTTGGGAGCTTCTGTTTCTGCCACTGGGACTTGCGTAGCTTTGATTAAGTCATCCAAATGCTTTTCAAAATCTTCCCGCTGAAATCGACTACTCGACTACGGGGCACCTGCCAGAATGTAAAGTAGCTCATCACCTTCGAAGGCTGTTCTTTTTTGTAACACTTTGATTGTAAGAGTTAGTGCTTCAAACATTCTGCCCTTACCACATCTTTTCATCTTTAAAGCACTTCTGCCAACTGTCTTAAGTGTTTTGCTGCTATTTGTGAGTACATTATTTGCAAACCATACCGCCTGTAGTAAAATCTGCATTAAAAGCCACCAGAAACAAAGAAAGTTTTCGATGATTTCTTATCATGGCATAGATTCTTAATAATAATAATAAAAAAAGTAAAAATAGCCTTAGACAGCCTTTGTAAAACGCTGGTATTTTCTGTGACATTACTGTATTCCGAAGCTTTTGATCACAGGAAATGTGTGTGTATTTCAGAGCTATTTTCCAGTGATCAGGTGAAGCTGATCTTGAAACACTTCAATGTTTTAAGTGCTTCTAGGATTTATTTGTTTTTTTTAGGGGATGGTGTGATGCAGGTGGGATCATTCAAGACTGTGATTTGTTTGTTTGTCATAGTGCCTCATTTCTGAAACTTGTTCTTCTCCCCATCTTTATCCAGTCTGCCATGGGAAGAGTGATACAAAAGTTTGTATTTTGAAGTGAAACTGAGAACACCTGTTTTCCCTCAGGGAGGATGCATGTATGTTATTTCAGAGTCACTATGATCAATGACTTAAGTTAAATATCTAGGTATCTAGGTACAACCCCCTAGGTTGTACTGTGTGTACGGCTTCAGCTTTTCTGGAAGAAAATGAGGTGGTTTCTTTAGTGTTGTCTATAGAACTGAAGCAAAGAATGGGATGATTTACCTATGATCTTTAAATCTTCGTTATTACGGTAGCATAAATGCTATGTAATACATCCTTACAATTATAAAGGTAGTATTTTCAACTTAATTTGCATTCATACACAAATTTGGTCTGGTACTCAATGCAAAATGAACTTAACACTTGTTAATTTTATGGCAGCTTAGTTATGGAGTAAGCAGAAATCAACAGGATGGAAATGGGGTAGTGAGGAACAACTAACCGTTTGTAACTTTTACTTCTGACTTGCAGAATTCTCAAAGGGAACTAAATTTAAGGGTAATTATGGTTATATAATGTAAAAATTCACTAATCTTTTTAAAAAAAAAAATACGACATTACTTTTTACAGTTTGTGTGTTGCTAACCTCTCATAGTCGTCCGTCGTCCCTCCCTCCCCTTTTTTTTTGTTTCTTTGTTAAGGTGACCAGTTAAGTGCATGAAATTTAGAAACTGGAGTAATTCAGACCGTATGAGCAATTCTACTGATATGTTTAGGTTCTGTTAATCTTTATTTATGTAGTCTCCTGGTTCTTTTTGCTCAAGCTATTCAAGTAGTGAAGATGTATGGTAATGGAGGAAGGAAGGGAGCTCTGTAATATCTTTACTATTCATTAAGCAACTCTTACCCAATACAAGGACTGCAGTGAGTAGGTAGTTATTAATTTCTGCATGCTTTTCTTCGAGGGTGCTTCTTAATGTATTATTTTAATGGCTCACAAGTATTGATTCAGCACCTCTTTGAGATGAGGAAATATTGTTTTCCCGTCGGTAAAATTAGTGTAATAAACAAGATGTGATCTGGGGTTGCAAAAACTAATCAATGGTGGAACAGAATTAGAATTCAAATTCACTTGTCTCCATACTGTACTAGTTTCTCCAGAAAATAAAGTGAGTTGGGTATCTATATTCAGTGGCCATTATAAGTGCTGGGTACTTCTTCATATCAGGTTCTGTTGAGAATATGCAGTTAATGTCTAGTGAGAAGCGTCAATTTTTTTTTTAATCCAGTATTCACATAGCAGTGAGGCAGTGACATATACAAAATTTCATAAATATTGTGCTCTTCTTCATCTCCTTGGCCTTTTTGCCTACAACTTCCAACTTCTGAAACAAGTGGAGGAGTGATCATATGGATTTCCTTATCCCTCCTTAGGCTTGATTTATTGTTGGAGTACTGTCCACCCACTATGCTGAACAAGTAAGGGTCCTACTGGAAAACATACTAAGTGCTCCTGTAGTTAAACATGGTGATAATGGGAGTAAACACACCAGGGGATGAATTAAAGTTGCACAGGAAACTTTCTGACTTGGGAGTGCTTTTCTTTGAACCTAAACAATATTATATCTGTAACGTAAAAACAAATTCTGTCACACATGCTGGCAGGGTCATTATAGTTGCATGTCAGTGGCACTGAAATGTTCCAGGCAGAAGCACAGCTTGAGCTCAGGGCTAACTGCATTAGTTGGAAACAGGAGGAAGCTGTTTCTGTAAAGTTGAAGGGAAAGGTCAGTGTGGCAATAGGCTTATGGCAGAAGACGGTGAAGATTTCACAATCCCATCCTCTGACTTGTTCAAGTGGTGGGAAGGAAACACTGGAGACAGAAACAGGGTCCTCTGGTCATGGATTGAGCTTTGGGTGGGAGGAGAAAGTAATTTTGTTGATCCTATCTTCCTCTTTACACCTGGGAGGTGTGTGGCAGTGTAGGTAACTTCTTCCTTCCCTACCTGTGTCTCTGCACCTTCTAGATGATGCTTGAAATTTTGGGGAATTTAGTGAAGGAAGCGCAGCCCTATTGTGTCTGTTCTTTTGGAAAGGTATCCCCTGTCATGTTTATATGTTCAGGACCATTTTGTGGGTGTTTGGCAAAATAGGATGTTACTTGTGTGGTGTTTATTTGTCAAATTATTATTTGTTATGTAAGTAGTTGGAGGCCTGCTCATTTTTACTGTTCCTTACTCTTTGATGCATGCTCTAAGTTTTGGCTTATCCATAGCTGAGGAGGATTTTGGAGGCTGCTTCTTCCCCAAAGGCATATTATTTTTCCAGTAACATAGACTGGTTGCTTCAGTCGCCTTGTTTGGGAAAAAAAAAATCTTAATATCCCCCCCCCCCCCCCCCCCGTAATGGAGATTTAGTTGGAATTAAGAATTCTTTATTTTGTAAGAGTTCTTGATGATGTCATGATCATTAGATACATTACTGTTTATGTCTTCCCTCTCTCTGTGATACCTGTGACTACAGTAAGGGTCCTATTACTTTTTTTAAAATTCCGTTTTTCCTTTCACATTTTGCTGTATTTCCAGTTTGAATTTTTTGTATTCATATTTTAAAAGTTACAAAGATTTTTTTTTTGCTGTGAAAATGGCATAAACCTCTTTCTTGAGTTCGTATGGAACCTTACATCCAGTCCCAATATCCATTTTCCTTGTTCTACCAAACAAAACCCCAGAACTAAATAGAAAACAATGTTCTTGTGGTAGAGACCTTTTCCACCAAGAGATTATTGAGTTTGTTTAAACGCTGAGTCATGTTGTCCAAATTGCATTTTGTTTTCAACATGATTTCTTTATTTTTTTTTTCTTCCAGTTAATATTGTTTGCCCACTTGTTCAGTTACATCCTGGAAATGGCATGCAGAAGTGGGCAAGGCAGGGAAAATACAAGACAGCAGATCCAGTGCATGAGTTTAATTTTGCTTGCATCTTAATTTTTTGGCCCTTACAGTAGTTATATTTACCCCTGATGCTCAGAAAATGAACTGTCCTTTTGTGACCTCTTGTCAGCTGTTGCTGGACTTACTCCTTACATTCTTGTTGTAGAGAAAGCCACCTGGGTACAGTGTAGCTCTTCTTCATTGGCTGTTTCAATTTTTAAGGGATATTGTTGTTTAAAACTTTAATCTTTGCTTCAAAATATCATTTTCGCAACTCCAAGGCTTTAATGAATGCTGGTTCTTGCTGAAGAATCCATCTTTACAAGATAAACCAGGGTGACTATCGGAGACACTTTCTGAGCTGACATGTATTTACAGCTTTGGAAATATATATGTATTTCAATAGTAATGGAATAAAAATAGAAAGATTGAGGTGAAAAAATGCAGGGAGGCATTCCTGGTAAGAAATA